GCCAGAGTTTTGACGAGAACTGGCGGAAGATTCTTCAGATGTTCGGGTCTGATCCTGTCGGGACCGGGTGCCGTACGATTCTTCACCGACGAGATGGCGTGTCGGACTTCGGAAGAGAGAACTGCAGGAACGACATATCCATCCTGCTCCAAGCGGTATGGTTGCAGGTGGACGTGGCTGTCAAAGAGATCCGAGTAGAAGTCGTGGATGACCTTCTCCATTGCCCTTCTGGATGCGGTGATTGTTCCATCCGGACGTCGGAGGGCGGTCATCTTGGTCTTACAGTTGGCGAAGTCGCGGCGGGCGTTGCGTATGCTCTTCCCAGCCTCTGCGGCTTCCACCAGTACTGCTGCTCTTCTCTCCTTGAGGTCTTCCTTTATCGCTTCTCTGCATAGCTTCGCAAGCTCAGACGTCAGCTGGTAATTGCCGTGCGGCTCCACGTTGGCGAATCAGCTCGAGAGTTTCCAGAGATAGACGCTTCTTGGTAATCTTGGAACCCTCTGACTTCTTGGCGCAGTCGTGAAGATGTGCAACAAGCCGTTCGTATTCCTCGTCGATGTTGTCGATGACAGAATCCTCCCAGAGCCCAGCGAGAGAAGTGAAGTGATCCCAGTTGATGGTGGTCTTGGGGCTTCGCTTCTTGAACTTTGCGGCTCTCTCTCCTCGCATCGAAAAGCGGAATCGCGCGAAGGAGACGATGGTCGGATCCCGTGTAGAACTTAGGGACAACAGCGACATCGGTCAGGCAAAACCTTCGATTGCAGATGATGTGGTCGATCTCGTTATGGAATTGTCCACCAGGAGACTCCCATGTCCAGCGTAGAGAGTAGGGCTTCTGGAACTGCGAGTTACCATGGATGGTATGGGTCGACATGATAAACTCAGACAGCCTTTCACCCTGCTCATTCCACTCCGTTCCGTGAGTTCCGATGTGAAGTTCTTCAGCCGTTCTTCTTGGTCCGATCTTAGCGTTGAAATCACCGACGATGACCTTGAAGAAGGTATGATCTTCCTTGTAGAACTTCTCCAATTCCATATAGAACGCTTCGAGCTCATCCTCGTCGTAGCTTGATGTTGGTGCGTAGGCGACGAAGATTGTCAAAGCTGGAGTTGAACCACATCTTCTCAATCGCAAACGTCCGATTCGGGTCGTCAGACTTTCGTACGAATCGATGTTCATGGCCAAGTGCGTGTTGACGAGGACGCCCACACCGCCAACGCCTCTGCTGTCGCATGTTCCGAGGAACAGTTCTTCTCCAGTCTCGTATACGGCGTGTAGCGGGCGATGCCTCGTCTCGGTCAGTCCGATGACGTCGTACTTGATCTTCCTGGCTTGCAACATCAGATCTTCGATGTGAGCTTCCGATGCAAGCGTCCGTGCGTTGAAAGTACAGATCGTCATCCTAGTCCTGGGCGACTCAAATCTCCGTTGGCCCTGTGATTTTAGCAGCCTCGTCCGAGCGGTCCCAGCCGACGTCGCCCTGTCGGTGGTTCCCTCAGCTTCAGGGGAATGAGGCCCATAGTTGTTACTGTTTTCGGCGAGAAGAAATTTAACCACGCGTAGCTCGCCAGGCTCTGACGTGGCACCCTCCGCATTGGTACGTTTTTGGAACAGTCCAAAACCGTTCACCCCCACGCCACGATGAGGCTGCGGATAGGATTTGTGGGGGCCTGCTATCATATCGAGCTGAATACCAAATTATCGTGCTAACTGCTTCTAACATCAGAGGCGCTCCTACTTTTCGATTCCCGTAAACAAACACACGCGATTTGGCTGAACATAGAGTAAATCCTCACCCATGATAATAGCTAGTTCATCCGGACTCTCTGCCTCGTACGGACAACAGTTGTTCTCGACCATCGTATGCTGTTTTCGAACTGACTCGTGCGGTATTCTACGGAATATTGATATAGCATTGTACAATGTCGAATATGCCAGAGAAAAGCGCACTCGAGCAGTCGGGAAGGGCGTAGTGAGGGACCACCCGACAGCACCTCTGTGTCCTTTCCTATGATAAGAGCTCAGGCTTGGAGCGCAGACGACCAGAAAGTCGTTTTGCAGGTGAAATGTAACCTCCAATACGTCCGAAACTTGGTTAGGAGGAGGGAAATAGAAGAGTGGTTCAGTAGCCTTTTCCTACTCAAATATGTTAGTGCCCAGAAAGCGAAAGATCATTGAGAAAATCTATATAAGACCGCATTTCATCTGCAAGACGAATTTCTGGTCGTCTGCGCTCCAAGCCTGAACTCGATCAGAGGAAAGGACACAGAGGTGCTCTTGGGTGGCCCCTCACTCCATCATGTTCTCGCACAGCGCACATAGTCGCCCTGAATCAGGTCATTTCTCGTATCGACTCGTACCGGTGACACTCCATTTAGCAAGCTGTACGTCTGTCCATTTTCCATCTATCAAGTGATATTATTAGCAGCATAGGTTATGAGCCTGCGCATTCGTTTGCTGGTAATGAAAACATGGTGAAAGTTACTATTAGTAGATGTCCGAAGTGATGATGTTATGCTGAACGGGCTCGGTACAGTCAAAATGCCCCTTGTACGAAATTTTGGTGGCAGCCCTGTCGCCATAATGCAGAAGCTCACATTCTGAGGTGAATCTTATTATATTCTTCTGTGTTAACGAGGTTCTTAGATGAAACTTTTGTTTTAGAGCTTATAGTCGAATCTGAGGACAAGAATGGCGAGGGTACAGACGAGAGAGTGGAAGAAAGTTATGTGTGAGGGAGATGGCGCAGATTTAGACGGCAGTCGTCTGGCCGCCCTGTTCGCCGTCCAATGCGTTTGTCATTCCTCGTGTCAGGTGGTTATACTGCAATACCTGCCGTGAGAACATCTGAAACTCAGATTTGTGGGTGTGTGTGTGTGTGTGTGTGTGTGTGTGTGTGTGTGTGTGTGTGTGTGTGTGTGTGTGTGTGTGTGTGTGTGTGTGTGTGTGTGTGTGTGTGTGTGTCACGAAATTCATAGCACCTGAAGAAGAACTTGGAGAGGTCGGGTCATGGTGGGGATGGGTAGAGCATGGGACAAAACCTAAATAGCACCCATGACCCATGGTAAGCCCCGCCCACAGTGGGCGGGGCGTGCGTCAAAAGTTAGCGATGTCACTGAAAAAAGTCATAACTCGGTTCCAGAGCAGTCCCGAGATGAGGAAACAGTGCAGTAAAGTTAACAAAGGGCTGGCCGACCAAACAGAGGAGACACACCCGAAATGGGCGGGCGTACTTGAGATGGGCGGCGCTTCCCGTGTCACTGAAAAAACACCATAACTTGGCTACAAAGCAGCTCGGAGACGGGAAAAAGGAATAAGGTTAGCAATGGGTTGGCACACCAAATGGAGGAGAGACACCCGAAATGGGCGGGGCGTACTTGAGATGGGCGGCGCTTCCCACAAAGGTCGGTAACTCGGTCCCCAAAAATTAGAGATCGCAGAAAAGTCCATGACGAAGATGAACGTCTGGCAAGAGTCCACCATGTTTGCGGCGTGCTGAGGCCCGCCCACAGTGGGCGGGGCGTGCATTTGAGCACGAGGAACAGTATAAAAAGTCGTAGTTTGGTCCTAAACACTGCAGATGGTGCCAAAAAGTGGATTATGGTCCCCAAGTGATCAAATGTAGGAATGTGCGAGGCACTCCCGTTGTGGGCGGAGCCTGCCCCGAGGTGGGTGGAGCCAAACTTAAAAAATTCGCAAAACGGTTCCAGAGCACTCCAGACACCGGAAAAAAGTAGTTTAAGATCAGCGAGGGGTTATAAGTTGAGAAGCGCGAGGCATATGTTGTGGGCGGGGCGTGCCCCGAAATGGGCGGAGTCAAACGTTAATGGTCCCAAAGCACTCGGATAGTGGGGAGACACCATTTCCGAGTGAGGAAATGCACATAGATAGCGAGATAACCGTTTGCCAACAGCTTCGGAAAATCCTACAATGAACCTTCTGAGGAGCAAACTTGTTCAGAGTGGTCACGATTGTGCTCATCTGCTTTCTTCCTCTACTAGAGAATCATTGAACGACTACACGAATGCCATCACCCATAATATGTCATAAACTTCTCTCAAAGTTGAAAACACTTGGTAAATATTACTAATTTTGAGTTTTCTCAAAGGCTAAACTGCAGGGCCCAAAAAATTGCTCACAGCGAGGTTATGGGTGAAAGGAAATTTTTCTTCACAAAGCTGGATATCGACGACACTCTTGAAACGGAAGTTGGCGTCCGTACGGTAACCGTATCCACATCGGGAGAAGATGGAGAAGGCAGTGTCGAAAAACCTGAGGATAATCAAGAGTCAGCGTTCACCAGCTGCTATTAAAAGACCCAAAATGAGCACAAGGACGTCTCCAAGTCATTCTTAAAAAAGCATAGATTCTTTCAATCAGCTATTAGGTTGGCGGGAAAGTTCTGTCACATTTTTTCAAATTAGGCTTTCTTTTTATAGAGAGGAGTGTAAGATCAAAATTGTACAGCAATGTTACTGCGGGGTCCTTGCCACTGTTTGAGCACCTCATGGATGCCATCGCTTCACTATGCAGGGAGACACGACGCAAAGTTGGACACCATCTCAACCTCGACTTGAACTTGGGTTATGGAGGTTTTCTCGTCCGCATAACGATCGATTACGGAAGGCAACTTGCTATTAGAAGGGGCGATGTCTGTGCTACACAAGTGCAAGGGGAGAGAGATCAAGCTCCATTGCATGAGGTACGGCTCGAACTTTTTTGGACCAAGTGCGTTGCACTATCTTGGTGAGGGCCGGCTGTGCGGACAAATTTTTCCCTCTGATCCACGATACGCCTTAGATCTCGTAGCTGCTTTGCGTACGCCTTGACCAAGGAACCAGCTTCTTCATCCAGCAGTTTCCCGACCCATAGCTCCCTCAAGCTGAGGTTGCAGGTAACCCAAACCTCACTTCGTCATCAAAACTGTAGGCTCCCTAGGCTCCCGCCTTGAAGCGTCACTGTCGTGGTAAGGTTGCTCGATGATTGGGGGCATCGTGCTTATTCAGCTCCATCAATTTGGCATCTGCAGCTAACACGCTGGCGTCAGGGTGGTGGGTGAAATAGTTTGTGGAAGTTGTTGGATGGGTCGGGGCTGATGGTAGCGGATAAAATCCTTGTGCATATTGAAGGAGCAAGAGGCAAGCGAGTGGTACTAACAGAGAGACCACTCCTTGTTGTATAAGAGCTTACATTACCGGTTACCACTCTTGGTAATGGGCAAGTAATTTGAGTTCGGAAAAGAGTGACAGAACTTTCCCGCCAATCCCGCCAACCTAATATGAAAACACTAGAAATCACCTTTACTTTTCAAGCCTGCCTCACTGTCCTCAGGAATTTCATCCAATCTGCTTCTTATCAATTCTGGGCTGAATAAGATTTCCTTTAAAATGTGGATCAATCAGCTCTATCAAGAATTTCCTACAAAATGCAAATGCTAACTTTACCAAAGAGTTTTGATGCTTCTAGAAGGTAGGATAGAATTGAGCTATGCCTGAGCCTCATACGTTATAATGTTTTCTTCAACAACAACAATATTCAATATTAACAATATCAACAATATTCCATGAGTACTCGATATGAAATTTTCATTGGTAAGCTTTCGCTGTGGTAACAGCTTCTTCAGACCTCAAATAAAACAAGCATACATAGTACTTCAATTCCTTACAACAATCAAGCTGATCAAAGTACTAACCAGACTGGGCTCCCTCTTAACAATAAAGTCGCTAAGGTCTGTAATACAACATAGTAAAAGCCTACATTCGTTGACAAACCATCATATATTAACGACCTACCCCTGACCGACCTCCAGTGCAACTAAAAGTCCCTAAGAATGCGACATGCGTGACAATTGCTAGGACTTCTTTATCGCGACCGCTATGCAATCAGCCTCATTGCCTCCATCAGCTCGTCCCTGTTGTTTATTTCGGGGGATAACCGCTTGATAGCGATCGCCTCGAGCAATTTCCTTTCCAATGGGCTTTCCTTCGAGCGGTGCAAAACCGTGACTTTTAGGCGGGGAGGGGCTTCTTGTTGATGAAACATCGTGCGATGCCGCGAGAATCCGCTCTGGTAAGACGAGGAATCCCCAGAAGCGGATTCTCGCGGCATCGCACGATTCACGAATTCATTTTGAAAATTTCATACCGAGTACTCATTGAATACTGTTGAAGAAAGATTTCAGAAGGGCCCGACACTACTGGATTGGTAGGGATGAGAGGCAAGCAAATAGAAACACAAAGTGAAAAAAATCGGTGGTCTCAACAAGAAGGTAAACGCTTCAAACATTGGGTTGACCCACAAGTGATGGCGTTTTTTTTCTCACTCGAAATATCGCGCTAAAGATGAAGAGTTTCGCCATTGATACTGTTCTGTAGAGAATTCCTTGCACTACATGATAGTCTGTTTTTTTCGAATTTTCTCTTTCTACTAATGTTTGGGTGCTCAAACTGGAATGTCACGAAGATGAAGTCGAGCATTTTCGACGTTCCCGTTTTAATTCTTGAAAGCAAAACCCTAGACTTCTACTATACATACCTCTTGGCCATATGCTAAGTACGGTCCTTATCATTATGTACTGTCGGGGCGACACAATCGCGCTGCACTGTGACGCGATAGCGGCTGCGGCTCGGTGACGGCGACAGCTGATTTCGATGGAATTTGGCTGCAAATTCCCACTTTTTCAACTCTTCGGCTTCAGGTGAGTTATTCTGACCAATTTTGAATTGTACTGGCTCTGATTTCCTTTATTTTTATGTCGATTATATGCTCTTTTCCTTGTATTTTGCCTTATTTCAGGCATTTATTCAAATGGCTTGCATTCTTTCAGATTCATTCAGAGTCAGTACAATTTAAAATTGCTCAAAATAACTCACCTTCCACTTTCGAAGCTTGAAGAGTTGAAAAAGTGGGAATTTGCAGCCGAATTCCATCGAAATCAGCTGATTCGCCGTCACCGAGCCGCAGCCGCTGTCGCGTCACAGTGCAGCGCGGCTGTGCCGCCCCGACAGTCCGTAATGATGACGACTGTACACACCCAAGAGGCTATGTCTCTTAAAATGCTTCCGACGGTTTATGCGATTCGAGGATTTCAGTTTCTTCCTCGTAGACAGAACCGGGAAGTTAGTGGGGAGGTTCTGCAGGAAATAGTTTCTCGAGAGGGTCCCCATGCAATACATATTTAGAAGGGTAGGATTCCCATCTATTGATCGCTTGGACTAAGTTCAACCTGTCATAAGAAGTTTTCCTGGTCAAATATACCATAAGTAGCTTTTTCTGTAATTTGAGAGCCGGGGTAAAATGCAAGAAGTTGTTGTAAAATATCACTTTTCTGTCGACCCAACACTGCATTTCAATGGAATAAAAATTGACAGAATAGTAGGAAGGCAGTCATACTACCTGATAGAGCAGGAAGTTATCTATCGAGTAGCTTAGAACGCACTGGCAACGATTCTCACTACTCATATAAAAATTCGTGTAAGAAAAAGAAGCCATTTCTCATGAGCCAACCTAATACATTTGAAGGCGAGGGTAGGAGCACATATCGATCAGCTAGTATGAAGCCAGCAAAGGTAAACTGACGGAGAGCCGGCAGACTTGCATGATGTCGTTGGTGTAATGGATTTATCTTTAGGGTTTTCGACGCTTTCTTTGCGATGTTCCCCTACCCATACCGTGCCTTTGATGTAGTCATGGTATTGCCTGTTTGCGCGCAATAGGTACTGCAATTTAACAGCTCTAGACAACAGTGAGGTGGCCGCGAATCTCGGCGCTGCTTTAGGAGCTTTCTACATTACTAGCCAATGTGGTCATTTCTACACCCTTTCACGAAATGGAAATTACACCTTTCAGTCCAATGGGGACATGAGCACTTTGTTGTGGATTCACAACCCTTCAAGTAGTATATTATAGAGTCAGCCTATCAGAGTGAATGATAACACATTAGCCAACTCAATGGTACTCCCAAGATAAGCACCCCTTGAAATCATACCGCAGGCATGACCTGGCGGTATCGTAAGTGTGTCATTGAGTAGATACTCTATAAATTCCCGTTGGCGCGGTGCGCTCTTTTAACTCTTATTTTGAGTACCGCCATCGGTACGATACCTGAGCACCGCGGGAGGCGGTCTTTTGGCGCGACTCCATTGCAATTGACGTGTTTTGACAGGTATGTAAGTCCCTACCAAGTTGGATAACTTGTATGAATCACTAGACTATGAGGCTTTCGTAATTTGTAGTCTGCCAAAAACCGTCAGTGTGGGCTACAGTGCCCATGGTTCTCAGCCAAGCTTTCTTCTAATGATTACTTAGGGAAAAAACTAATTTGGAACTATGGGCGAGTTGTCTCATCTGGAACACTATTCACCTGACACGTTTTGACGGGGAGGTGATAGGAAAATCGCGCCAAACGACATACACCCGAGCACCGCCCACATTTGCCTGTATATAAGCCTACTTTTTAGTGCATTTATGTCGGTTATACGGTTCGGTACGAGCACGTCGTAATAAATCTTACACGTGCAAGTGCTTTCATTGGTAAAACACCAAACACTCCATGCAAGGACTAAAACCTTCGCCCAGGTTTAACACAATCTGCCGGTAAAGGAATCGCCCTGATGGGTGTTCAGCTAGAAATCTGCTTGTGAAATCACCTCGATGGCGACGACTTGGGCCGACTCTTGATCTGATCAACCATCTCTTTGAACTTCTCAGCTGTGATATCATAAAATGACGAGTTGCCTATGTTGTAAACACCGTGTTCGAAAAAACCGATCTGGAAGTCCACACGCAATGCAAATAATCGAGGAGTCGTGCTATATTTACCACTCACTTCCAATGCGTCATTATGAGGCACTTTGTTGACCACCACAGAGTTATTGAGTACCATGTTCAGAAAGAAATGCCTCATTTGACTGTTTGTCTGCCAGTCCGACCTCACTCTATTACGAAGAGCAGCAGAGAGACTAGGCTTCGTTGGATCGCACTCTCCCTGCAAAATGTCATGCATAGGATTATACAAATTTGATCATAAAATTGATCAGCCTCAACTCTCGGGTTATATGGTTGAAGAAATGAAAGCTAATACCCCATTCATTAGATTCATTAGTGCTGGCTCGCTCATCCTCTGGTCCAATGCAGTATTAAGGAAGATCTCCGTCTCTTTTCTTTTTGACTTTACTACCCGGTTGTTAAAGCTGCTCACTTTTTAGTAGTATGTGAAGTATGGATCTCACCAGCTCTCTATCTGGACCATAGCTATAAGAATCAAAAGCGCATTTCCGGAAGATCATAATGTTCTCTGTTAGAGTCCCTGTTTTGTCCGATAGCACATGGCTCACCTAGGTGGAAGATGAAATGCAGCGGTCGGACGAATAAGGCAATCCCAATGCTAACCTGACCCAGTTCCTCGGGTATGTTCAGTGATCTGCAGTCTATCGCTTGATCCTAGAAAATAGAACAGCTTTTACTTCTAATTGAAAACAAATCGCCCGATTATGTACTAAGCTCCCTGTAAATTAATAAGTAATCTCCTACTCCGTTTTTGTTGAAACCTAGCCATAAACTCCCTATCTCGGAGATGGAAAGACCATGGACATTTGAACAGTGCGCCAGCTGCGTTTTTGCTATAATATTAATGTTCGAGGCAATTTTTATCGTGCCTTTCTCGAGAACACTTTCTTCGAATGGAAACATCCCACGGAGAAAGCAACCCACGTTATGTTCAACGGAACGGTTGGCGATGTCCTATGGATATGCGAATTGCCCGCAATGGATGGATTGAATTTTCTGAAGGTTTCGCGGCGGAAGTTGGCCTTCGGTTCGTACGATTCTTTGAGGCCGAAATAGTCCTAATTAAGGTGTTTCCGACGTCCCATTTTACATTCCCTCTTCGCAAACGGGTCCCTCAGCAACTTCTCTTCCATATTTCGACATCACTACATACCCTCCTTATCGCGGATCGTGCCCTTCAAAAGTTTGCAACTGCGTATCTGAAGGGCGATGGGCATGATGTGAGCGAGTTTTATGTCAACGTCACTGGTGGAATGATCGAGTGGGAGGTGACCAAAAATCTCCCTTCCACCAATGACTTCCGCCCCCAGCCATCGTGAACACTGCCTTTAACTCTAGCCGTCATACCATTGCCTTTACCTACTTGGACATTTCGCTTGATCCTGCTGCGTCACCAGTTTGCACGAACAAAGCCTTGTACACGATGTTGACCTTTTCCATGTCCGCTTTAGTGTGTACTGCCAGCGTTGTCTCGGTATCCCTCCAGGCCAGTGCTCATCAAGTTCACATTAAGTTAAAACTGCAACGATGATATCATGCTCGGCTCGTAAAACGTGACCATGCCACTGGAGTCGCCTCTCTCACATCTTCTCGATTACTGCTGTGACGGACATTTGTCATAAATCATATTGTTGCGAATGCAGTAGAGGCGTGAAACGCCCAATGACATACGAAACATTCGCATCTCTACAGCGTGAATTGACGTCCTCCACTTTTCGCAGCTACCCAGCATTCAGATCGGTACTGCCACGAGGTGAGATATGCTCCGCTACATGTTCAAAGCGAGGACAAAAGCACCTCATATAGCACGCCAATGACCTCCTATCGAATCTATCCCGTGTTAGCTCTTATTCGTATCTCGTCGTCAACACTACTTCCAAAGACATCGCTTTTGGCAAATTTCCGCCTTTGACTTGGAGAGTGCTTTCGCTAGCGTTAATGGATTTGCAAGATTCCCTAGTGACCTCTTCGACTTCGATGCACAGAAATGGAATAACGTCGATGCACAGAATGGAATAACGTTAACCATACCTCCTGGGATTGGCGTATTCGCGAAATTCACGTTGAAAATTCCATTGAACTAAGCTTTTAAGCTGCTTAAACCCGCTCTTTCGCCGACCGGTAGACATTTTTCTTCCCCTCTTTCATGTCCAGTCTCCTACAGGTCCAAAAGCGTTCCGCTTCGATTACAGCAACAGAAATTTCAGGCTATCTCTCCTAGACTCCTCCAGTAGTCAGCAGTTCTCTGCGTAAACTAGGTCTGCAATCCATGGTTAGGCAATCTCTTTTGCCACTTCTTGGATCACCTAGTCCATCTAAAGTTGCATTTGTTTGTCAGTACGATGTCGAACAGGTTTCGTAATTCCTAACGTATATGGTAGCATATAGATATGAGTTAAAAGAACCTGAGGAAAGCTGCGCACAAGCCTCCACAGGGCTGTCACCGATGGAAGGTATACTTTGCGGATTTGCAATCAGTGGGCGACGGCGTCAACACTGCGGGACAACCCCGCCTCAGGCTCCCTTGGTGTACCTTGCTGTACCTATGGTGACGGGGTAAAGGTCAAAGCAACCCGTGGTGGGAAGGTCGGATGAGAAACGGTGATTGCGACCCGACTGACTGCAACGACAGTAAGGTACATAGAGGCTGCTGTTCCCTTCTGGCCCCGTGGCTTCCATCACCTGACTTTATTTGGCCCTATGGATCCAAAGGTATCCCTTTGCGCTTGATTGCGTTGAATCCACGGCGAGCATTCTGTGTTGTGTACCAGCACCAAGCAGTAGATGGGATGACCTTCAGATCACTAATAGCAAAAATATGTTACCTTCACGCAAATACGAACTCGGTTGACTTTCCTAGTCACCGCTAGCGCATGCCTGTGGGCGGTTGTCGCGCTTCTCGAGAAACGTGTTACTGATGGCAAGGTCGTTGATCTCAACAAAGTGTAAAACACACCATCCCTCTGTTGATGTGCCATATTCATGTGGTGTTGCCATGACAGCTTCAACCATTCTGTCGGCAAGTCATTTAGGTGGCCGCAGAGCAGGAAAAGATCGCTGCAACGTCTGCTGTATTTGTCACCATTCCTTTTCGATAACATCGCAGCCGCTTTATGGGGACGTAGTCTAGAAAAACACAAAAATCGGCGAGTTGCCACGTTCTTTGCGGCAGAGAAGAGTCCGAGTGACGACATGGTTCCATGGTTCAGTACAAACGACAACGGCCACGTCTTTTCCTTCGCTTAGATCGCAGCGCTTTTGCCCCCTATATGGTGACTGCATTAGCTTTGAAGGAACTACGTGGCCTTATAAAATCATCTGTGCAAGTTTCGCCCAGTACCATTTCGTTGCTTCACAGGGTTCACAGGTCTTCACTTCAGTAAGGACAGGTAAAATGCCCGCTCCAGGGCGAACTTCGACGAAACTGTAAGGCACGAAATTGGGAACTTTAATTCTTAGAAAACCTCGCTAAATCAAAGCCCAGAACGGTACACGAAAAATTGTAGTTTTTCAGTGGGCTTTCTGAACCTCAGAGATTGAAGAGTAAGTTGCGATAACTACGTAACAAGTCAAAACCTTATTTTGGCTTTGGGGAAGAAATCTCACCGATTCTGCGGCGTACAGCTCAATATCCTGGCTTAGGAAGAAAATCTGGGCGAGCTTGATTATTTCGACGGTAATGTACAAAGAAATAGGCACAATAACCTGAAAATGGTTTTCGTGAATGATCAACCTGCCGGACTCACTCGTCGACCGAAGTTATAGTTCGTAACTCCAGCCGTGCTCTACTGCTTATCGTCGGACCACTGGGACCGCTGATTGAACCACATTCAGGATGGGACTCTTTCAACCGCTACAACGGCCCAGCGCTAGAGCACTGCAACGGTCGAAAAGACTCCATCTGAGAAGCTCAGTAATTTGTCCACTCAACAGCAGGAAATTGAATCCTATAGATTACGAAATATGAATTATATTAATTTTGTATTATAACTGGGTATTGTGCGACCTTCTTGTATTACAGCAGTGAGCGGTGCTTCAGTTGGGGAGTTGGTTGACCTTATAATTACTTTTCGCACCTCTCATACATGCCAGTGAGATATTCCCACTTAACTGATTACGGCTGACCTCTTTACTGAGTTAAGTGAATAGATATATAGAACGGAATTCCATTGAATAGGTAGGTTTCCTACTACAAATAGTTCGCCAACTTCGTCTGTTGGTGTGTGTTTGTATGTGCGTACGTGTGTGTTTCACAACAACACATGACGGAAATATGGATGATAGGTGGCAGGAATTAATAGCGGCCGACAAGGGGTCTTAAAAGGTCAACAAATTCATAACTCGCGTCGCAGCACCGATGGAACGTTGATTCCAAGAAGTGATATAGGGGCTAGACATGAACATCATTGTGGGTGGCAGGAAGCGATAACAGCTGACAAGGGCTGATATGGGGCGTTAGGAAGTGAGACTCACCGAATTCATGAGGCTGGTTTCCGCAACGGTGGGACGTTGGTACCAAGATATTATGTAGTGTATGAGACCCGATCATCATTTGTGCGTGGCAGGACGCGTTAAGAATTGTTAAGAGCTGGTAAGGGGATTTGAACTCAAACGTCGGGGAGACGGTAAAGAGGATCGTAATTCGCCGCACCGCCACGCGCGGCGATGGGCGCGGCGTTTTCATAACTCGTTTTAACCTGTCGAATGGAGCACCGGACTTCATGTAGACCCCGTCATCGTAGACACTCATTACTGTTTTCGGTCCTTAATTGCATGTTGTCGCCATCTACTGCCTGAAACCATCGTCCTTTGCGGGCGGACGTCGCACGCGACGCCCAGCAGCGCGGCAAATTACGATCCTCTTGTCACATACCCAAGCGTCGCTTGATTTATGGCGCCCGTCACAGTATCAATAAGATGTTGATTTCGAAAAATGATACAGGGGATGTGACGGGGTTATTATGATGAGTGACAGAGAAGGAAAACAGCTGAGAGGGGCTGATAGTTGCCCCGTAAATCGCCTCCAAGATTGTACCTCTTATAAACTGCCAAATCATAAAGGTTTCGAGATATGGGCAATGGTGACAAGGATTATACCAATTCACAAGAATAGATAAGAGCTTGAGGGGTCATTTTTACCTCGTCTTTCACTACTATACTTCCAGGTTTGAGGTATTGCAGGCTGAGCTTATAGTGCACTTACTGTCCCACTACACGTTGAACGAGGGAGGGAGGGAGGAGGGGCTGTACTCATGTTTGAGGTCTGCAGCACAATCATGAAAAGAATCAACAAAAATTACATGAGAAAGGGAAGAATTTAGCATTGCTGATTTACTGTAGCAAATCATTCCTTTGCTACCGTATATCACACACTCCTTTATCGCGGAAAGCGCTGTAATGTGCGCCTATAGATCAAACAATGAAGTTTCCGGTTCCAATTCTCGTTCATCTGTTTGGGTTTAGCAGTGAGGGGCCAGCAGTCAGCGTAACCAGCTAAGGAGGGCAATCCCACTGGCAAGTATGCGGAAGTGCGAAAAAGTAATAATAAGGTCATTCCCAACTAAATGTGCACCCCAATTACAGCTGGGTTTGGCTCAAAGTAGCGTCGAGGACTGCATTCACCTGATAGCATATAAGAAAAGCTCCGACGTTGTAAATACCATCGATGACTGGCTTGGGAGAGTTCCACACAACGTAAGGATCCTAATCGAGAATAAAAGATCATCACATTGAGCCACGTCGTAAAAATGAAACTAACCGGCGCGACTCTGCTGCCATTACTTAGTGGGGGATGGTCGCCTAACCAAATTCCAGACATCAGAGCACTACCAATAACCATAGAGGTAAGGATAGCCATGCATAGTAAAATGAATCTGAAAGTGGGAAGGGAGTGCGCTAACGTAGTTGAGGGGAGCACTTAGCCGCACCAATGTGTCCCTCTTTTCAGTACTTGGACTTATGGAGTAAAACAAAAGATTGTCGAGCAACTCTCACAGAGACCACTAAGTCATAGGTAGGGGAGAAAAACAGAGGCAATACCAATAGTCTCCTCCCAGCTAAGTTAGCGCTAAAGGAAGTGAGTCAAAGATGAGATATCTAACTATCATCTATTTCCATTAGACTGAGAAGTGAAAGAGACGCGAGAATAAGTGCTGAACTGCTGTCGAATTCGAGGAACATTCACCGATTCGTCAGTAGTTCGATACCGGAGACCTTGTGTGGAGCTCGTCCATTATTCATCATGACCTTCGTGTCGTGACCTGAAAAGATAAAATGGTCAGAAGTATAAGTACCACCCCTTTCTGGCAATCATGTAGGCAACTGAATCGTTCATGATCGACTCTCCATTAATCTAGGCATGATGATAGCAATATTCAAAGAAGTTTTTTTAGCAATCCGAGATTGTTACAAATCCTTTACTCGACCGACGTTTCGGCAGTATTGCCTTCTTCAGAGCCTGTAAATCGAAACCTATTTTCGAAACAATTCGTCCTAATCCCATTTCAAATTGCATAGTGAAACTCAAGGTCAAGCAGTCTATAAAAATATCGTGAACAGGGCCTACCTTTTGGGGAGATGTCGTTCGCAGTCGGCACCCTAAGCTTAAGGACCTGGCAGTGAGGCTTTAATATGCGTCTAAATGCAATAATTAGGGTCAAACTGCTTTTGGGAAGATTTTGAATTTAATTGGGCCGGGTCAAAGCGCCGTAGGAGACCCCCCCCACATAATTGAGGGCGTAGGTCGTATTTTTGGGAGGCCACCCAAGAGGTGAGAGTCCCCGCTGATCGCTGCGCCTCGCCCTCAGTATCGATTTTCAAGGTCCGAGCCTCAACCCCGACCCCCGCGCCGCCGCGGGGGATTGACCGCGTAGATCAAAACCCGCAGAGCTCTACGAAAGGTGCCAGCTCTCTCGTTATCGCTACGCACTCTTCTTTCCTGTTAGATCTTAAGTCTCGCTGCATCCACAATGCTTTGAGCGTTCTACGCGCTGAGATTTCTTGTTCACGTGCCAATACCGTATCTCCACTTCCATATCCACATCCCCATGATAGAGCCTCTCGTTCACCAAGAGTTTTGACTTTTCCAGACCACCAAAGTATTCCTTAATTCTAGGCATAGTGGTCCACCAGCCTTTCCCCACACAGTCCTCCCCGCACAGTTCACACGTAACGAGGTATTGTGAAGGTGTCTGGCAAATGAAAGGAAGGTGTTCTGGCAAAGTCGGTCATAAAGTCGATTGCGGACCAGCTGTTTCTTCAAGTTTGGGGGAGGAATATCGACCACCCTCACATCGTCCTGGAGATTTGCTTTGCGGAGGCAAGTGCGAAGAGCGGAGCTCATCTGATCTGAAATGAAAGGAACACAGAATGGTATCTTCTCCTGTTCTCTGTATTCCCCGTCATCTAGCCTAGCTCGCCGTCCTTTTTGTGCCAGCTGCCCACGATTGCGATCGTAGCCATAATGTTACGCATTACGTGAGCCAAAATTATTGCCAGTGCCTTCGGATAAAAAGGTTCTTGAGAATGGCCTTTTTGGTGTTAAGAGGGATGGGCAGAACTGTAGTGGACGATGATATTCTTGTTGCAAGGCTTTCGATACCATCTGGTTCTGTAAGTTCCACCGCGATAATAGTTCCACCGCGATTGAACCTGCACGTTTGATAAAGCCAACCAGTTCTCTGTTGGATTCTCGCGCGTGAACTTTATATGTTCAAACTGCCGATTCAGTAATTCGAAGCAGGTGTCCATCTCGGCCTGGGTGGAACATATAACAAAACAATCGTCGATGTACCGACCGTAGAGAACTGGCCTACGTTCAAGCACAGGCTTTTCTACCTTCGACATGAGCGCCACCTCAAGAGTTAGTTTTAACGTTCGAGCCATTGCTAGTCGCCTAACCTGTTGCAGTACTCCCCCGTTCATCTTGATATGTTGCATTTGAGACATTCATCCAGCAACATCATGACTTGCGTGATGGAAAGGCCGTACAGGTTCAGACTAGAATGGTGTTCGGTGAAAATCTCCAGGACTGCCTGCATTGCCGCTTCCTTGGAGACGTTGGTATACAGGGATGTTACATCAAACGACTCCATCACATTTTCTCCCTCCACACCAACCTTCGCGAAGTGCCTGAAGGTACCCTTTGTTATTCGGCAAATGCGCAGGAACAAATCGGAGGAACAAGGATGAGGTTCAGAAACTAGGAGATTCTATCCATCCCCGACACTGCTTATGGGGCTAACCCTGAAGGTGGCTGGAGCTTTTATCTCAGCTTTTCTGGGGGTAGCTTGTGTGTTTTTATTAGGCAAGTACAAAACCGGTGTACCGGCAGATCGCATTTTAACCTGGTCACCACGCTCCTTGGGGAGTTCGCTGATGTAGCAACCTCGTTCCATACCACTTTAGTCGCCGGGAATTGCTTAGCAAACTCCTCCGCGCTGGATGGGCCATAAACAGTCTCATCTTGGAGATGCAACCGTGTAATGGCCCTATCCAAACTCTGCGACAGGACGACAAACTCCCCACCTTTGTCGCTGACGGTGATTTTTATTGAACCCGACTGCGAAATCCCTCAGTTCTTTTAGCCCCCGTCTCTGCGCTGTGCTCAGATTGGAACAGCCTCGTGTGCGGCTTTGGACGCAACACAGAGAACAATGCCGTGGCGAATAGGCGGAACTTCGTGTCCACAGTAACGTTAGGTTCTTGGGGAGGAAGATACTATAGGATGTGGCAATTGGAGCTGGCTAGAAGCCAGCCAGCTAGAAGCCACCAGGAAATCGAGCCTCCTCTGCTCTGAGGTTGAAAAAATGGCACCGGATTCGTCTGGGAAGGTAAAAACACTGACGTATGTGCATCGCCTGGCTTCTGCAAGTCGCTGTATAGTTCATATCGCACTCAGTAAGCTACTACGATTACGAATGGAAGCAGAATGCGTGCTTCCTCCCAAAAGAGAACTGATCAGATTCGAGATATTTATCATTTTCATCATTTATAGGCCTCGCAAGCTTGGAATGACTGCAACTGCTTAAAGACAGCTCCCGCGATAAAAGTCTCATGGATAGCTGCTTTCCAATGAAACAGCAGCTGATAAGTAATCTCCCAAAGAAGAAAACAGGCAAGAAGCGTTCTCCAGAACAACATAAATCGCTCCCTCACAGTTACACCTCCCTGCGGTCTCTGTGCAGCCCCTAGCTCACAAATCTCTCTATCACATCTCGCAGTAGTTGATATCATCCAGTGCAAAAGAAAGAATACAAAAAGAAAACAACAAAAACGCAGAGGAAAAACTCTGGGAAGGAAAAAGGAATTTTATCAACACGGTGTCTGAATTTGTGATTACGGTAGCGCACCTTTTGTGCGTCGTGGTTTTGCATCACGAAAATTGCGTCACTCGTGTTTTTTACGCGTTTCACCTCGCGAAATGGGTTGAATTGAATGTATATACCTCCAATGAGTAAACTGTAATGAAGGAGAGCAGAATTATCCAGGGGCATTAGCAATGCCCGCCGCCCCAACTAAGAACAAGTGAGTGGCCTCCGTCGGAGGACATCTAGCAAGTAAAGGCGGTCCGACTGAGGAGGAGTTAGAACTAGCACTTTGAGCGGCTATAGCAGCCTCCACGCTCACAATAGAGTCGCGAAAGGTGAACAGTCTTCTAGCTTGGAGGCTAGACTACTTGCACAGCAAAGGCGACCACGAGCCACTTTGATCGCGGGGGCTGTCTTTAAGTGTACACGTAAGACAGTTACTCATTCCCAACTTCATGACAGCAAACCTTACTCTATTCTCTGCCTCGGTCTATTATCGTGGATGAATGGGCTCACCTGCGTACAGCACTATTCCTTCGATAAAGGTGGTATTCCGAAGGCGACTTCCACGAAGTAACATGGCGTCCTTAGTGATAGGTTCGGAAGAGCCTGAATAGTAAAAGATTTCTCCCTCGGAGTAAAGTAGAATAATCATGGGGCTTTCAATAGTGCTTATGTGAGTTATAGTAACAGTACCTGGAACATGCTCGATTTTCGCACGAATAGTGTAGATTGCCGGATCGGGAGGTTCACAGAACACAGTACCGGTAAACTGAGGGGGTGTGAAGTCGCTACCATGCTAAAATATTCTATTTGTTGAGCACTGCTCCTGGTAGCTGCCTTCACAAATTTTGTTTTGGAATGCTAACGAAAACATTCAAGTGTGATCGTAACATAAGCAGCAATGAATCAGTAGGACCGAATGTGAGCGTGTTTCTATTCCTGATATTTGTGGATGTCACTGCAAAGAAACTCAACCCGCTCCCAGCTCAAAACATACGTTTAGCATTCATGCCGACGAAATTGACCTCAGAGCAAGTTGAACTCCGAGCAGTGTACAAAAACAGCAGGGAGTACCGGATAAAAATAGTCGCTGGCTGAATGTGAAGACGAAGTTCCCAATCTGCAGGAGGTCACCGAACTATTGTAGACTGCTGCAGGGAGACCATCGAAAAGGTAGAGCTTCCGTTGCTTTGGAGAGCGATTTATCTTGCGACAGTAGTGTGGACGGCGATCAGAAAGCGATTAAACGCGGGTTCGTAAAATGGAGTTAGTATGCGGAGTGCTGAGACAGTTAGGAGCACACGGCTTCACAAAGCCTTTCTGGTCGACTGCAGTCTTCTCTAAAGCCTGCGATACTAAACCGATACTAATCACTCACCGAGCTTGCAAGTACACTATGTCGCACAATTTGCACTGTGACAAAACGTACCTGCGCCACTGTTTGGTTTTGCTCCACGATTTCGGCTGGAATGCAAAGGAAGCCCATACCAAGCTGGTGGATACATACGGTGAGGACGTCATCTCTTACATGACATGCAAGAATTGGTTCGCCAAATTCAAGAAAGGAGACTTTTCTCTCGAAGATGCTTCGGGTGGTCGG